AATAAAGCAGTATCTTAATTTAAAAGAATAAAAGGAAGAATTTATTCAAAGCAGCCATACCACAAAGGAATCCCATTAACAAAAAATGTAACATCCCCTTTTTGATAAACCTCCTAGTTTATCAAGTATGGAAATGTACTCCTCAAAAAAAAAAAAAAAAAAAAACAGAAAGAATTATCTATTAAAAAAGATTGCAGCGAAAGTAAAAATTCTTCTAATATCAAATATTTCCCTTTAAGGAAAATCTACTTTCAAAACAATTCAAAATTTTATAGAAGGAAAATCATTCATCTACAAGGGAAAACTATTTAAATGAAAAATATCTTAGGCTAAAAAATATCGAAATACTCAAAGTTATAAAATAAGCCAGGTCATGCCCATTTAAATTAATCTTAATGTCATATACATAAAAGTAACTTATGCAAAAAAATACATGTGAGCAATTTCTTTTCAAAATACTTTCTAAAAATAATAAAAGCAAATTATCGTTTTGGTAATACATTAATCCGCCTTCATATCAAAAGCACTGAGGTCGACATACGAGATTTATACCAAAGCTCTCAAGTTGAGTAGCTGCTACTCGAATCTACTAATCTGAAATGAGGGGTGGGGGAATTTTGTGAGCTAAAAGCCCAGTAAATATTAAGTTTAAGATATAAACTTGGGTCTTAAGACTCTTAGACCTATATACACAAAGAGCACAAAAGACAATTAAACCGAATCACATAATATTATAAATCTCAGTGTTTAAATAACAATTTAATATCACAAATTAACTCACAAATAATCAAACATATCAAGGAACAACCAATGACATTTATATCAAATTCATATTGTAAACCATGTGCTCATAAATGTGATGTCACAAGCATAATGCACAAAACCGAAAATCACACAATGCTATGGAGTTCATTAATATGTGCTAGCAATACTGTACTGGAGCTAATCACAGTACTAACTCTACTGGGCAAAGATCCACTAAATACCCCGAAGGGTCCACTGAATACCCTGAAAGGTCCACTGAATACCTCAATCTTTAAACTTAGGTCCACCTATTCCATAGCCACAAACACATACGCATGTCAAACAAATTCAGAATATGTCCCAAAATCATATTGGAACTTTATCTCATTTAATGTTTCCACTAATCAGTGGTACTGACAATTCAAGTTCACCCTAATATCCACATACACAACTCACATATTTCATAAAACTTTCTATGGAAGAAAATCAAAACATAGCACGTGAACAGTGATACATGAATAGTGATACATGAACAGTACACATAAACAGTAATTAACACGTGAACAGTAATTAGAAAAGTAACCATCTGCTTCCAATCTCACGCACAATTTCAACAAGGACCAATTAACTATATAAATTCTAACTTAATCATGCAAGGGATACAAGCATCAACAGCAGTATTAATCAATAAAATCCACACTAAATCAAGCATGGAAAAAAAGAAAGATGACTTATCATCCATCCTGTACCAGCCCAAAAATTAAAGATATTTCTAATGAAATTTTAATGTCCAAAAATCTTATAAACTAAAGGATTTGGATCAAATCTCACCAATTTAAACTAATCTAATTGTTAACATGTTCTAACAAATCTATAAACTATCCAATACTCTAACCCAAATTTATAACGAAAACTCATACTTACTTGAAAATCAAAGTACCAAATTGAAGAGAACTGCAGAAATTGAAGGGATTTCAACTTGAGAGTGCGCCCTACACGGTAATCTTGACTGGAAAAAGAAGGGAGAAAGAGGCAGGTGACCGACTGGAAAAAGAAAGATGCAAAGAAAATGGGTTTCAAGAGGATAAGTTCAAAAGAAAAAGAGATTTGGTGTTCTAAAGTCTTCTGGAGAAAGCCCCCGTTGACTTGGTTCACAAATTGCCATATGTCTTAAATTTTTGGTTAATATAGTTAAATAACCCCCAATTATCTCAAAATTTCACATAAGGTTCACATACTTTAAATCTAATCAATTTAGTCCATAACATATTAAAATAAAGGACCCAACTTTCTAATTTATTCACTAAACTATATGGGGTATTACAAAAAAGAACAAAATATGATAATTTTAGGTTTGGACAAGTTTAGACGGGTTTTGACCAAGTTTAGTTTGATCTAATTTGATTTATATTAGGGTAATATTACAACCCGACCCATTTTTAGACCCAATTTTGAATAACCTTTTGAACTATTCAACTTGAGTTAGATTTTAAGACAATGATAATTTTAGCTATAGAATTGAAATTTATACTTAATTACATGTTAATTAGCATCTAAAACACAAATAAGAATAAAACCTCAAATTAGTCTAAAGTCCTAATTGCTATTCATGACTTCTAACTTCCAATTTCTCAAGAGTTCATGATCAAATGCACTAATTAAATTATTAAGGAAGAATTCACGATAGGTCAAACCAATATACACCATAGATTTGAAATTAAGAAACAACCAAAGATATGAGTCTTCAAAAGGAGAATAAATCTCATAAAAATCTAACTTTACTATACTTATACTTATCTCTAGCATCCAAAAAATGTAAAATTTACAAGTTTTTAAGTGATCTCCTTGAATTTCTAAGCTTTTCCTCATAAAAAATGGCCAAAGATCTCAAGCTTTTTCTTCTCCCATGGCTAACGGGTTTCAGAGAAAGGTGGAAGACAACTTACGTCTTTCTACTCTCCTCTTTCTAAATATACTAGCTAGTCTTCCAATTAGTCAACAAGCCGTGCACTTTGTGTTTTTTTTTTTTTTTTTTTTTTTTGAGGAAACACTGTGTAATTTTAATTGGTAAACATAGTCAATTCCAATTTTGGTACAAAAGCCCATACTTATCCCCAATTCCTCTTGCATGGCCAACCATTCCCACAAGCAAGAAAACAACGTCCAATTAAAATGGGTAAATTGCAATTTCCCTCTAACTCATTAGTGACCGAACACTGTTGGTCCATGATTCACAAGGTTCAGAATAATGGCTCTAAGTCCGCATGATTCTTAAAAGCACAAAAATAATACTTAAATTTAAATCCCTTATTTCTTGGTTTTCTACTAAAGGTTCAAACTATTAACTATTGCATCATTAAGGACTCTAATTTCTAATCTTTACAAATAAGGTAATGACTAAGCTACAAAATCAGAAATTATTATAAATCAGACTTAATTAATCTTTCATTGGTTAATATTAATTCTAAAATAACCAACTCTCCCATTGATCTAATTAAATCCAAAGCAAAGGTACTTAGTTAATAAATTTGCTAATATCTACACTTAAGCCCTAAAACTTCCAAAATCATCAAAGAAGGACTAGCCATCATTGTTGACTTCTAATTTTTTAGGTTAAATCTGTAGTAAGGAATCCTACTATTAACCTCTATTCACTAAAAGACCCCTACTTCGAAGTTATGCAATTAAGGATATATTCTAAAGAAAATACTTCACCTATTCATTTTTAGTAGTTTTAATTTGATTTTTTGACTTTTCATATATAAATTTTACATAAAAATTTAACAATTTATATGAATAACTATTGAAAAAAAAAAATTCTATATGTAGTTTTTGTTGACTATTTTCCTTTGACAAAAATTTTTTAATTATTATTTATATAATATATTAAATCTTCATTTAAAATTTTATATTTAAAAAATAAAAAATAAAATTATAACTATTATAAATGAATGGATGGAATAAAAATGCCGGATGCTGCACTGCTGGTCTGGCGCGAAATTGATAAAACTAGTTCCTGGACTAGGTGAAATGTTTATTTTTGCTGGCCTGAAAAAAGGATTGGGCCAGACCAGGAAGCCATCTTCTTTTCACGGCCCACTCAGTCCAGCCTCAATAAACTCGGACAAACCTGAGCCCAAAGAGAACCAAACCTCAGCCTTTGTTCACTGAACCTCAAACCCAGCTCTGGATTCCAAACTCAGCCTCATCTCCCGAACCTCAACACCTAAGCATATTGAAACTCTCTTTCTTCTCTCTGTTGATGCTATCTAATCTGTCCTAGGTATTGAAGTTGCAGAATTCAAGAATTCAATCTTCTTCTGAAAATACTAATTCCCATTCCTGTGTTTGAAGGAGTGATTTCAAATCCAGATGTCGCATTCCGAACTAGTCTAATTGCATGAATTTCAAGACTTTTTCGAATTTTGATTGAATTTTATTTTCTTTTTTTTTTTTGAATTTATATACTTAATGGTGCAACTATGCATGCATAATATATGCACAGGTGCTTGTTATATTTATATTATATTTTAATAAATAATTATCAAAAAATATGTTAAATTAAAAGATATATCAATTTTTTTTTTATATGCTTGTAAGTGTAAAGTTAATCCATATAACCACAAAACTTAAACCATAAGAAACCTATAACAATAAAATGTTGAACATAGTTACATAGGTTAAAAAAAAAAAAAAGAGCATAGATATATGACAGATTTTCTATAGTGTCCTTGTTTACTTTTTGTTACAGTTTTGGTTGGTACACACACTTCAATATAGGTTGCAATTACATTTTTCATATTGCAGTTTTGGTTGTCAAAATTTGAACTATCAAAATAAATAGTTAGAAGCTAAAATTAGAAATTAAAATCACAAAATTATTAAGTATATAAATTTTTAGTAGTACTCAAAATAAAAAAATTAATTAATTTAAGTTTCATTTAGTATGGTTATGGTTTTGAATTTTTTTTAGTTTTGATTTTTTAAAATTTTACAATTCTAAAAAAAATATTTGTTTACTTTTATGTGTTTTTCAACATATTATAATTATTATTACAAAAATAAGAACAAAAATAATTTTAATACCATTAAATAAATTTAAATTTTTTGTTGTCAATATTAAAACTTGTCTCATACAAATTATTAGTTTTTGATTTTTAGTTTTAGCTTCCAAAAGTAACAAATTTTATGAAAACCAAAACCGAAAATCCAAGAGTACAACTATTCTAAACAAAGCCTTATTAAACTTGTTTATTTTGATTGAGGATTTTAAAAGTTTTCAAAATCAAAACAAAATACTCAAAATCACAATCACACTAAATAAACTCAAAAAAATACAAAAATTTATGATCAACACAAAGAATCCATAATAATAGAGAATATGGATCATTAAAATGTAAAGAATTCATTTTTATTGAAAATTTTAAGTAATAGATGCTAATCAGCTGCCTTACATCCATGGATCAGTTAATAATTTCACTACTGGGGAGACCGACTTGTTTGGAGTTCAACCCACCTACATACTCCTTATACAGAAAGCAAAATGAAATGGCATAAAGACACAAATAAAATAATTAAATATATAGTCAAATAATATAACTTTATTTACTTACTATGGAAGAGATGGATGAGATGATTTAGCGTTCTTCTGAGATGATTTAGCGTTCTTGTGAGTTGTCTAAACCATAACAGATAGCTTAATTTGTTGCTGTATTTTATAGAGAATGCAGGTCAGTACTAGAAATTAGACTATCACCAACGTGTAAGCACGTTGGTGAAAGAAAAAGGAATAACAAGCAGTATCTGAAAAGAGACAAAGAAAAAAGGAAGGAATGAATTTATTCAAAGCAACCATATCTCGAAGGAATCCCATTAACTCATTGAGATTTCTGCAGATTCCTTCTTAGCTAGCCAGTTTGATTCTTGTGATAGCATGGTTCATGTTCACACTACTAATTTGTTGAACCATACTTACACTAAGTAATAGGGGTATTTCAAATGTTGTTGATAGTTAATATAATGCAAACATTCTAATCTATCTTATTAGAACTAACAATTAATAGTCTATGATACTACTGTATTTAGTGGATTTATGCAGATTTCATTTTTGGTTTGATTGTTGTGATAGACATATGGCATGGTTCATTCTCATAGCATTAACTTGTTGCATCATAAATATTTTCAATAAGTAATAGAAGTGTTTAGATTGGTTGTTAAGAGTATGTTTGGTTTGAGGAGAGGGAAGAGAAGGGAAATGGAAAGATCGATCCATTTTCCTCCCTCCATCATTCCATTTCCCTCCCCTCCTATACCTTCCCCTCCACTTGCCTCAAAACAAACATACTACTAGTTAATACTTTTATATATATTACAAAGTCTACAATTCATCCAAATGCAATCAATAATTAATAATTGTTTTTGAAAAAGTTAAAACAACCGTGAGTTTGTTGTCTAGAATAGCTAGATGAGATTCTAAGCACTCATGTCACCTACATGAGGGAAAAAGGAAGAATTCATTAGGGCAGGGTCAAAGGTGTTTCTGGGTATGCCCTCTAATACTTAAGTCAAGCAAGGTCTAGTGAGAATGGAGAAAGTTGGAACTGGCTAGGGAAGAAGATGGGTTCAAAATATTACCTAAAATGGTGTGGAAGAGGCCTTTATAGTCCCTTTCTCGATTTGTCTTATAGTGGGTGGACTTACCAGTTTCTGTACGTTGTAGGTTCTCTACCTACCAAAATAGTTCAAGTGGCAAGTGCAATAGCTCACACATGGGCATAAGACAGAGAGTTGAGGCCAACGTCCTCTAACACACTAAAGTTGGCACGGTAGTGCTCCTCTGTGCATGTTACTTGACATGGTGTAGGCCTTTTGTCCTTTTTACCTTATCTCTATCTTAGCCTTGACGACTAAGTCTGTGTCATAACTATACTTGAAGTAGCTTACCAGCTTTGCAAGTCCTAGTAGTGATAGCTCATCAATTGGGAACTAAAGAGCTCCATAGGTATGGCTTTACTAGGTATTTTGCAAGAACCTTCCTGTAGTCAGACCTAAGCGATCAGCTCTACCTGGATCAGCTATTCACACAAGCCTTGTGGATAAATAAAGAGCTGCCAAATGTATGATAGTTATTCAAGTAGTCTCACAAATTACATGCCACATAACTCTCACAGGAGACATTCTTCTAGAGAAATGATATTCCAACTAGGTCATCATTGACAGAAAGTGCTCAAAAAAAGCGATAGCTGCTTAATTAAAAATTGATCAAAGGATAAAATCAACTCCAAATTAGACTTTTTGCATCCTAATTTTTGTGGAATTATTTAATGCAAAAATTATTGGTGACTAATAAGGGTCTTAAATTTTCTGACACTATATATATACTCTCTAGAAGCATTATTCCCTCTCATGTCCAAAAGCACCACATCATAGATTATTAGATTTCAGTTGGAACTCAGAAGAAATGGTTATTCTTTAATTAAATCATCGGAAGTAATAGTTGCTTAATCAAATTATAAAATAAGATAATTAATAAGTTTCTTCAAGAATTGGGAAGATGTATTTTTTATTATTACTTTTTAAAATTAAATTAAGAGATGATTAATGAATACTTATATCTTGTGGAGGTGAACCGCCATTGATATCTTAAATTGTTGGGAAAATAAAATACAAAATACCAAAAGAAAAAGAAAAGAACCTAAAATGCTAAACATAGAAAAAGCCTTTTGCCAAACAAATAAAATTTTATTTTCACTGGTCCAATTATGACTATGGTTATGGTAATACTTAAATTTATTAATAATAATAGCTGATGATAAAAACATGAATGGTAACAACCATAGCCTTCAATTAGGAGGAGTCAAAACCACACCAAAAGGAATTTGGCATCTAATGGGTCCCACGGTGGCAATTGATAAAATAAAACGAGTAATTGGAGTAGGCCGGATATTTATGTTTGCTGGCCTAAAAAAAGATTAGGCTGGACCTGATGCCACTGTCGTTTAACGGCCCACTTAGTCCAGTCTCAAATAAACTCGTTAAACCCAAGTCCAAGAGAATCAAACCTCTGCCCTTGTTCACTGAACCTCGAACTCAGCTCTGGATTCCGAAGCTCAGCCTCGTCTCCCGAACCTCAACATCATAGATTATTGGTTAAATCCCCATTTTGGTCCCTGAACTATTGTACGGACCTCCGATTTAGTCCTTGACTAAAGAAATCCTGATTTGGTCCCTAAACTATTGTACGGACCCTCGATTTGGTCCCCACTGTTTATAATTTGGCTTAAGTTGATCCTTAAACTATTGTATGGACCCTCAATTTGGTCCTTACTGTTTACAATTTTGTCCCAATTTGGTCCCTAAGCTATTATTTAGCAGAAAGACCAAGTTGGAGCTAAATTGGTAAACAATAGGGACCAAATTGGGGATCTGTATAACAGTTTATGGACTAATTTGGGGCTCGTACAATAGTTTAGGGACCAATTCAGGGGTCCGTATAATAGTTTAAGGACCAAATTAGGGATTCCTTTAGTTCAAGGACCAAATCGGGGGTCTGTACAATAGTTTAGGGACCAAAATAGGGATTTAACCTAGATTATTCAAACTCTCCTCCTTTTCCCTTGTTGATACCATCCGAGCTGTCCCAGGTGTTGAAGTTGCAAAATGCAGTCTTTCTCTGCAAACCCTAATTCCCACTCCTATGTTTGAACAAGTAATTTCTAATCTAAATGTCGCCTTCCTAACTAGTCTAATTAATTGCATGAATTTCAAGATTTTTCCGAATTTTGATTGAATTTTATTTTCAATTTCTTTTCGAATGAAGAGGCAATGCTTGATCAATAAAGGTCACAGCTTTCCGGAGTTCAACAATGGTAATGCTAATGCCGGCTTTGATCCATCTGAAATACTGCTTTGATGTTCGTTCTTGTCAATGTAGTTGCAATAACTACTTAGTCAATCTTGTCGGATTATTTCTGATTTGAATTTTTGTTTTGTTTCTTTTTCAGTGCGAAATTGTGTTTCTGAGCAGTCGGTTGATTGGTTATTTTTGGAGTTGAAACCATGGCGCAGAGCAATTGGGAAGCAGACAAGATGTATGCGATACTGTTTGCTGATGTTTTTTTGTTTGTTTATTTTGTTGTTTTAGAAATTGGATTTTTTTTTAAGTATCGGTTAAGTGTTTTGTTTTATTATAAGTTTTTATAAAAAAAAAATATAAAAAAAAATATTAAGTTTTTATAAAAATAAATATAACTTTGCCCCCAGATCCAGCAGGCAATATTTAACTTATCCATTGTCATATTCTGGTCTAGTTTTGCATGAAGCTATACCAGTAAAAATGAATATTAATTGAAAAATTTTTATTCTATAAATAGTTTTTTTTTTACTTGGTTGAGCCCCATTTTATTCCTCGGACTCTAAATTTGGACTCTGAACTTGAAAAATTCGTTATTTTTGGTCCTTAAAGTCTTTTCTGTTTTTGGTGTTTTTGTCCTTTATCCATTTTGTGCTGACATGGCAACTTGTCTTCGTCAGTTCTCACGGATTATTTAAAAATCAAGGAATAGAATCAGATTCAAAGTAGATTTTCTGGCATCGTAACGTTTTTGGAATTATTTGCGGTAGAGATTGTTGTTCCCAGTTAAGGGTCGACCTAAATTTTCAGGCACCATATCCTCTACAGCATTATTCCCTCGCATTTCCCAAAACACCACATCATATGTTTGGTTATTCGTTATTCAAACTATTGAAAGGAATAGTATCTTAATCAAATTATGAATTAAATAAGAAAAAATTTATTAGCTTCTTAAAGAAATTGGGAATATGTATTTTTTATTAATTATTTCTAGTAAATTAAGAGATGATTAATGAATATCTTTATCTTGGGGAGGTAGGGAATACAAATTCCAGGACAAAACCTCTGGTGCAAGCACACACTCATTTCATTGGCTCAAATGCAAGGGGGAATGCCAGGCTATCTCACTATATGACTGGATGCAGCAGCCGGAGTTAAGCAGAAGCTGCACTTGAGAAGGGTGTTAGAAGGTGATGATTAAAAGGGTAGCAACTTGATGGGAGAAACAGTAAAAGCCGGATTAAAAACTCTTTACTAGACGATGTGAATGTTTATGTGGGTTGGATACTCTTTTTATTTTAAAATAACATTAAATATTTCTTTACAATTAAAAAAATTCAAATTATATTATAATTTAATTTTTTTTTTGTTTTGTTATTTTAAATTATACAATAGCAAACAATATTCTCATATTCCACCTATATGTGTGCCTATAACTTAAATATAAGATTTTTTACTTTACTTTAGAAGAGGCTAGTATTACAATAAATCAAAAGTATTTGGATTAATGGTTCAAATGCAATTAATAACTTATAGATATTTCAAACACTATAATCGATATTTTACCAAAAAAAAAAACATTATAATTCATTAAATTAAAATTAATAAAATTAATAACTAATAATTGTTTTTAAATAAACACTTAAATATAAAGACAATTCATTTAGAATTCCCTTATTCGAGCCTCTTTTACATGCCACATAACTCACACCAAAGTCATTCTTCTATAGAAGTGATTATTCCCACTAAGTGATTCGCCGCTAATGTTAAAAATGGAGATGTTGCTTCAAAGAATAGAATCAATTCCAAAGTAAATTCTTTGGCATCGTAATG